GAAAGGGAAAGATACGATTTAGAAGCAGCAGCAGCAGGTGCTCAAACCAGCAGAATGTTGGTTTAAAAGAACACATTTGACGTGATCGTGGAGCTGTTTGCAAATGCGAAGGCAGGATTCTTGACAAGGTTCTGAATGTGCCCCTCCTAAAATAACTAGTGATCCGAACTGCGAGGTGCTTGTTCTTGCGGTCGGGGAGGGCAGAAGCAGAGGCAAGGACTGTGCAGATTTTCACCATGGTGCAGAAGAAAGGAAGCAACAGCTGATAAGTAAAGTGTGCGGGCAAATGTGAGCTTAGAGTCCCCACTAATAGAGCAGGAAAGTGTCATGACACACGCAGCCCACACATAGGAGAACACACCAGAAAGCTGCCAGCAGAGAGGACAGTGAGGAGAGAGGCTCAAGGAGCAGCAGAGGCGAAGCTCCGCGGGACCGTGTGCAGCCATCCACCCCCTGGGAACGGGGACAGGAAGGTGCCCAAGGTAGAGGGGAGACTCAGAATGGTCACAAATTGAAACCCAGCATCTATTTGGGGGTTTTTTTGTTTTTGTTTTTTTTTTTTAAGGAAGATTGGCCCTGACCTAATATCTGCCACCAATCCTCCTCTTTTTTGCTGAGGAAGATTGGCCCTGAGCTAACATCTGTGCCCATCTTCGTCTACTTTGTATGTGGGCCGCCTGCCACAGCATGGCTTGACAAGCCGTGTGTAGGTCCACACCTGGGATCCAAACCGGCAAAGCCCGGGCCACCAAAGCAAAGCACCCAAACTTAACCACTGCGCCACCAGACCCATTCCCCCAGCGTCTGTTTTTTAACAGGCATTTTAAAAATGCTGAGGGGATGGGAAAAGCTATGCTAAATCCAGCACAATCCTAATCAAAATGCCATCTGATTTTTCGAGAAACTCATTAAGCTCTCAAATTTATGTGGAAGAAAAAAGATCCACATTGAACCTTGAAACTTTGAAAAGGTTCAGTCAACTCTGAGAAGGAGTCAAGAGAGGTGATATCCTGCACATTCTGAAAGCTACAAACCCACAGTAAAGACACTGTGGAGGCCAGTCAGCCCTGGCAGACCCTTGGGCAGGGACTTGGTGGCTGGAAAGCTAGCCCATGGGTCGGGGAGGAGTGGACAGTCTCCTTGGTGGTGGTGGGCACAGTAGCACCCTGTGGAAAAGATAACCCCGGACCCTGCCTAACCAGATGTAGGGCAGCTCCAGAGGATGGAAAACCCAGTGAGGGGGCCGCCCCGTGGCCAAGTGGTTAAGTTCGCGTGCTCTGCTTTGGCTGCCCAGGGTTTCGCCGGTTCGGACCCTGGGCACTGTCATGGATCATCAGGCCATGCTGAGGCGGCATCTCACATAGCAGAGCCGGAAGGACCTACCTAGAACATACAACTATGTACCAGAGGGCTTTGGGGAGAAGGAGAAAGAAAACAAAAAAGAAGATTGGCAACAGATGTTAGCTCAGGTGCCAGTCTTTTAAAAAAAAACACCCCAGAGAGAAAGGTAAAATAGAAACTTGGGAGAAAAAATGTGGGAAAGTGTATTGTGAACAAGGAGTAGAGAAGACTGCTTCAAACCCAAAGGCACAGCAGTAAGACAGGATTTTGATGGTTTATAAAAGTTCCTGCAGAACAAAGAACACCGTGAACAGACAGAGCAGACTGAGACACAGGGTTTAAAACCAGCAAGGGCCTAACCCTGAGATGTGAGGAATTCCTGCCCATCAAAGGAAAGAAGGCAGGGACCCGGACGGTAACAGGCTGAGGGGGGAGCAGGCAGTTCAGAGCCCAGAGGGCCAGCCAGCCTGTAACATGAGGAGACGTCCCCAGTGTTGTCATCAGAGAAGTACAAACCAGGACAGGGAGCCGTCGCTGCACTGACCAAAAATTACACAACTAGAAACTAGCTCACAGTGTCGGGTGGGCAGCCTGGGGGAGGGCGTGGACTGGGGCAGCCAAAGCGCCCACATGGGGAGCTGTCCCCTCCTGTCCAGTAGTGTGGGCCCTCGGCACAGTGGTGGCTGAGTCTGGGAAGGCAGACCCCCACGTGCACCCTGAGCCTCAAAAAGAGCATGCAGCCCCACGCCCCTGAGCTGGGCCTTTGGCTGTGCTAACTACTACCCAACTGGAAACAGCCACTGTGCCCACCCCAGGAACCCAGCAGGCCACAGCTGCGGGAAGTGCATGTCCCTTAGAGAGGGACATGCTGGCCCTCCAGGATGTGTGCAAATAGGAGGGTTCTCAGCCAGGTCGGGGGGGAGGGTATGAAGCCAAGCCATCGGGCCAAAGAGGGCTGTGGGGAGCCACCCCACTCTGAGGCCGGAAACAACCCACAAGCAAAGACACAGCGTAGGAGGCTCATTCTGAGAGAGAAAGGGGAAGGGAGGCAGAGAAGAAAAGAAGCCAGCAGGGGTGGCCGTGTGGGCAATGAAATGAGGGGAGGAGCCTCAGCCCACAGCAGGTACTGGGCCCCTGGTCTGTGCCTTCCCTCCTTTAGGTCCTGGGGATGCGCCAGTGAGCAAACAGATTCTCAAAATCCCTGCCCTTGTGAACTTCAGGAACAGTGGGGTGTAGCTTCAGCCGTAAGAAGAATGACAGTTAGAAGGTGATCTGTGCTTTGGAAGAAAGCACAGCATTTTGGATGGGCTCGCTGAGGAGCCACCTAACGGCAGAGTGGGATGACCCCACAGAGGACGGGCACTAGGGTGGGGAGGAAGCCGAGCAGGGGCAGCGGCCACAGGCAGAGCCTCTGGGCAGGGGAGGCCTGCAAACCCCAACCTGCTGGTGGGGCCTTGGCGGGAGGAGCCTAGTGGTGGTCGGGGAGGGTCCTGGGTGGGCTGCAGAGGAGATAAGGGAGGCGAGGGAGGGACCCAGGGCTGCTGTGGGGAATCTGGGGCCGTCCTTGTATGGGAGGTACTGCTGTGCGGAGCTGCGGACCGCCATGGAGAGGGGTCCCCGAGAAGGAGTAGGCGGGGGGACAGGCATGCAGACACACTGGGCCTGGGGCCTAGGCTGGGGGAATGGAAGTGCCCTACAGGGCAAGAGGCAAGCAGAGAGGACGGGCGGGCGGTGAGCAGGCTCGGTGGTCACCTGGAGGAGGGTCCTCGCTCTGCAGAGAGAAGGTTTAGGGGAGAGGCAGAATCAGGGGAGGATCCTAGGAGGCAGGGAGAGCAGGGGAGGGGTCAGGAGAGAGGTCAGGGAGAATCCTGGGGGGCAAGGAAGAGTTCTAGGGGGCAGGAGTGAGTCTTGGGGGCAGGGGAGGGCCCTGGGGGGCAGAGGAAGAGCCTGAGTGCAGAGGAAGGGCCTGAGTGTAGAGGAGTGTCTAGGGGACAGGGGTGGTCCTAGAGGGCAAGGAGTATGTCAAGCAAGTAGGGTAACACAGTGGGACACAGGAAGACTGTGAACCATCCGTGGCGCACCCCTTAGGCCATGTGCAGGGCAGGTGACTGTCAGGACGACAGAGGAGTCACCCAGCTGGCAGTCACCACAGGCATCATTCACCCCAGTGATTTTGTTCAGACCAGCAATGTGCCCACCCCCAGGGATGAAGCACTTTGGTTCTAAACCAGTCCAATGGATCTGTTCCCTTTCCAGACTGCCTCATGGCCAGGGGTGGCCTGAGACTCAGGCTTAGCTGATGACACCTGCTTTCCTGACAAAAAGTACAGGCATAGCTGGCATAGTGTCTTGAATGTGGATTTGATGGCTGGACCTGCTGCAGCCATCCTGCAACCACAAGGCCAGGGCTTTGGCCCCAACTTCCTGGAGCAACTGAACGGACCAGGTTGCCACCATCTCCCCATTTCTTGTGAGGTGAGGAAGATCTTTTTTGTTAAGCCACAGTAGTTGGAGGCTTTTTTTTTTTCACTTTTACCAAATTTATTTCTAAATGTTACATAAATGGATATAAAAAGTTATAGTCAAATAAAGCTGGTGTAGCAGATCCTAGGCCTGGGCTCTTCGTAGCGCCTGGGACCCAACAAGGCACCTGTGCTGGTTGTAGCTTCCTTTTTTCCTCCCCTAATTTTTTAAAACTGCAAAAGTTATGCAACTTGAAAAAATTTCAAACCAAAAAACATTATATAAAGTAACAATTAGAAGCTAAACCCAGGGTGAGCACCCTTTTAGGTGTTGTGCGTGCGTCAGTCCCTCCACGGCCTGCAGCCTCCTGCCCTCTCCTCCTCCTGCCCTCTCCGCTCCTCTTGGGCAGGAAGCCCTGGGGCCCCTGAGAGTTGACCTCTTGCTGCCGTGGTCCTTCGCAGTGACTGACCAGAGCCAAGTGTGAGGTTGCCTCAGCCTGGGAAGACCAGGCCTCCCTCTCCAGAGGCCCAGGAGGATCAGGCAGAGGCGCCTTCTGCCAGCATTCCTCCCCTCCTCACCGGCCTCCCACTGCTTTCTGGGTCTCTGGAGCATTCTGCATCCAGTCCTTGCACAGGAACCCATCTTGAGGTCTGTGTGGGGAGAGCTTGGCCCCAGATAGAGACCTCTGCAGACGCCCTCAGGCCCAGGGTGTACCCACTGTGGCCGGGCTCTGCTGGACAAGGGAGCCCTGCGCCCTCCCTGGGAGGGGCGTGGGGATCAGGGTGGCTCCAGCCAGGACCAGGGTCTGACTCAGGGGTTTCAACAGGCAGAAGAGGGCACCCAGGGGAACCGGGCCTTGGGTGAGTGGGCTCCTGGGAGAGAGGCCCCGACTGAGGAGGACAGGAGGGCTCGACCCCTCCTCTCTGCAGTGAGCAAGGCCCCACCCCCTTTCCCAGATGGGCCCTGAGGTGATGTGATATGCCTGAGGTCACACCCAGGAAGTGGCAGAGTTGGCTCTGCAACCTGGGTCCCCTAATGTCTCCAACCCAGCACACCACCAGGTGGGGATGACACCAGCCCACACCTGTGGCCACCCTTGCCCAGTTCCACCTCTCCTTAACCCTCCCCGGCAGCAGCCCCCACAGCTGATGTGGGCCCTGAAACCCCTAAGCAAATAAGAGGAGAGAGATAAGCCGTGTCATTTGCTGGGGGGACAGTGGCGTTTGCATGCGGGATGTGTGAAGGCTCTAGGAAAATGGGCTGCCTCTGTTTGCAGACTTGGAGCCCCACACCCCCTTTCCAAACAAAGGCAGATCCTGTTCCAGGAGCTGGGGAGACCTTGCCCTGGCCGGCCAGCAGTGCCAGGCGCTTCTCCTGCCTGCTTCCGGGCCCTTTGCTCAGGCAGGGAGAGGGCATGCAAGTGGCTGTCACTGCCTGGTCAGGGCGGTGAGGACAGGGTCCTCCCAGTTCTCTGCCCACGGGGCTGGCCTGGATTCAGCTGCCCAGACCAAGCTCGTGCTGGGAGGTTGGCCATGACCTCGGAAGCCTCTCCTGGAAGCCGCTGTGCCAGGTGGGAACCCGTTCTACGATGCGAGGGACACAGGGAGGAAGGTGGGGAGATGGACTCCAGGGAGGCTGGGCAAGCAGCCCTAACCCCTCGGGGCTCCAAATGCCCTGAACTGCGGATGGGAGCTCCAGGGTCCGCCCTGGTGCCCCAGAGGCCTGGCAGGGTGTCTGCTCCAGGGTCCGGGGCGACAAGAAGGGCCAGGTGCTCGGTGTGGCTTTGGGTAGGTCACCCCTAACCCTAGGGAACCTCAGTTTTCCCACCTGTCCAATGACCCCACCTCGGAGCAGGTCACTTCTGGGGCCTCTGTGTTGGGGCATCCCCTATTCCGCCCCTTCCTCAACAGAGCACTGCCTGCTCACCACGCAGGGGCTTCTGCCGCGTGGGGGGAGCTGCCGGCTGACTTAAACTCTCGAGGACTTTCCTCCAGGAACACCCATGACCCTGGACCAAGGACCATGTCGGGGTGCCATGACGTCATGAATCCTGGCTCTGGGGCATCTGGAGCCTGGCAGGGGGTCAGGAGGTGTGGGCTCACCTCTGCCTCTCTGGGCCTCAGCTTACCCTAACCAGATGAGCTGTCCCCTCTGACCTCTTGTGGCTCCTCCACCCTCATACCCTCCTGGCCACCATGGCCCTTGTGACATCCCCCAGGTCACTTTAGTTCTGCTGGGGCACACCACCAGCCCCGGCTCAAATCCCACTCTCTTTCGGGCCACAGGTCTCCTCTCGCTCTTTGCCCCACTTTGCCAACCCATCAACTGGAACAGTGGTGGTGTCTGTCCCCCCACAGAGGGGTCCAGAGGCCAGGTGGGAAAGACAGAGAGTCAGTGTGGCCAGGCCAGCCCCCGCAACAGGCGTAGGGCCCCCAGGAGGAGCCAGGGCCCCGTCTCTCTCTGGCAAAGGGCGTTATCTGTCCCCCTGCAGGCGAGCAGGAGGGAGAGGGGGTCTACATTCCAAGCCCACCCCCCAGGCCTCCTCAGGCCCCACCACCCCACGCAGGGCTGAATGGGAGGTAGACACTCACTGGACAGGCGGACAGACGGACATCTGCTGGGCCAGGCCTCCCAGATGCTCCCTCCCTCACCGCTGGTCTCCTGCTGGAGCCGGAGGGCCGGTCTGGGTGATCTTCACGTGCCCCCAGATTGGACGGCTTGGCCTGGCGCTGCCCACCGCTCCAAGCCTGTGTCCTCCCCTGTGACATGGGCTTCCTGCGGGCTGTGTGGTGGCATGGGGACTGGGTCTCATGTGCCCCCTCTCTACCCCCGATCCCCACCCTGGTGCTGGTGGGACACAGGAGCGGAATGCTGCGGAGGCGCACCCAGGAGGAGGACAGTGCCGCCCTGATCGACATGGCCCCCGGGGCAGGGAAGGGCGACTCCTACGGGAGCACAGCCAACACCCTAGAGGTAACTCTCCCTACTGTCCTCCGGCCCTAGGGACAGGAGGCCCGGTGAGCCAGCCCCTCACCTCCCCTCCCCTGGGCTCCATGCCCACAGTCTGCTGTGGATTTACAAGGGTCTCTTCCTGCCTGGATCTGAGCCCCCCACCCCGGGATGGACAATGGCCAGTAGATAATGGCCACCACCCCCGGCCCCGAGCCTTTGTGGGGTGGATGCAGTGCCCGCTGTGTTTTCCCAGAGCCCTCATCCACTGTGTGGAGTTCCTGTCCCCTCAGGCTGCCCTGGTGAGGGGAAGAGGGAGTGTCCTTAATGTCCACAGTCAGGTCACTGCCCACCCACCAGCCCAAGGGACGTGCAGAAACCCCTCAGGACAGGCCAGACGAGGACAGACCAGACAAAGCCGTGCCCACCAGCATGAAGAGAACAGAGGGGGGTGCAGGGCCATGCACAAGCGTGACACAGTGTGTTGAAGTTTAAAACAGAAACACTACTTCTTAAAATGTGGAGTAGGCCGCACTGGTGTGTGCTGACCCCTGAGGTGTGAAGGTGGCCTGGAGGCAGCAGACTCCCCAGAGTGCCCCAGGGGAGCATTGGGGACTTCAGCTTTATCCACAACGTCTTCTTGCCTAAAAGTGTGAAACTCAGCGCAGCATGGCTAACAGTTGTTGGTCTGGTGGTAGAACGTGGGAGCTTGTCTGTTGTGTCTGGTCCCCTTCTGCATTTCCTAGTTCATCAGCACACAGAGTGGCAGGAAAGGACCACCTGGAGGGGAGAAATGCATTTGAGGATTGGGGTCAGGGGTCAGGATAGGTTGGGGTCAGAGTCAGGGTTAGAGTTAGTGTAGGGTTAAGTTTTAGATGAGGTAAGGTCAGAGTCAAGACTACGATAACGGTTGAGGTTACTGATGAGGTCAGGGTTTAAGTTAAGGTTAGAGTTAGGGTCAAAGTTGGTGATGCAATTGGGGTTAGGGTCACCCTGGGGCCAGGTGAGTATAGATGCCTTTTATAAAGGGCTCTGGTCACCTGGAACTTCTAGAAATTTGAAAGTATTCCACCGTCTGGGCGCCATGACCACCTCTGGCCTGTCCGCAGGGCCACTTAGGGGGCAGTCTGGCTCCCCTCTAGCCCCCGGGTCCTTCCCATGCTGCCCACAAGCCTGCCACTGGACCCCAGCCCAGGCCAGGCGCTCAGAGGCCCGGGGAGGCCCTCACGGGGCTGGCGGGGGCACGGGGCTGGCCCGCCCTCTGGATGTGACCCTCTGTGCACAGCAGCGGTGCTCTCCTCTGCCGTTATTTGTGTTCCTGGTGGTCTGGGGCAGGGTGGGGGCCGGATGGGGGCCGCTCACCACAGTGAGATGCTGCCATTTCTCCTCCTTTCCTTCCAGCCGGGTGGACACCAGGCAGCCGCCTGCAGGGTGGGGAGCCCTGCCAAGCCCCGGATTGGTGAGCCCCACCCAGTATCTGCCAGCTGTGCCCATGTTGGTCCTGGGGGTGGGGACACAGATGGGGTCCCCGCAGTGGCAGCAGGAGGACGGTGGCCCAGGTCACCATCCTCAGTAACCAGGCCGCCGCTCCCTCCCCATCACTATCTCCTGAGCCAGCTCTAGTGCCAGTTGCTGTGCTGGGGTGTGGGGTGAGGGCCTCTTGGTGAGCAGAGCACAGGGAAGGGAGTTCCCCACTGATGGGTGGAGCGGAGAGGGTTCCGGAGGGCAGAGGTGGCGGGCCCCTCCCTGCTGCTCTGGCTTCAGGACAAACTCGGAGTCTTCTCAGACCCTTATCTCTTGCACCTCATACCTTTTCTACCTTCAAAACCTATCGGATCCACTTCTCCTCACCCTCCACCCCTCTGCTCCTGTCTGCCCCGAGCCACCGAGCCACCGGCATCTCCCCAGAGGACTGCACCAGCGCCCACCTGGGCTCCCAGTGCCCACCTGCCCGTCCTGCTCTCCAGGCAGCACCAGAAAAGACCCTTGTTAAAATCAGCTGTCCTAACCTCACACCCATTAGGATGGGTACTATTCAACAACAACCACAAACCAGAAAATAACAAGTGTGGGTGAGGATACGGAGAAACTGGAACACTGTGCGTGGCCGGGGGAATGTGAAAAGGTGCAACTGCTGTAGAATACGGTATGGAGGGTCCTCAAAAAACTAAATGGAGAATTACCATATGATCCAGCAATAGTTGGCCGTACCATCCAGGTTTGTGTAAGTGCACTCTGTGATGTTTGCACAACGACAGACTCGCCTAATAGTCCTTGTCTTAGAACGTATTCCTATCATTGAGTGACGACACATCACGGACATTTGGGTTATTTCCAACTTTTTGGCTATTATGAATAATACAGCAGTGAACATTCACGTACGAGATTTTGTGTGGATGTAAGCGTTCATTTTTCTTGGGCATATTCCTTTGAGTGGAATTGCCAGGTCATGTGGTAACTCATTGCTTAACATTTTGAGGAAACTCCAAACTGTGTTCCAAAGTGACTGCACCAGATTACAAGCCACCAGCAAGTCTGCAGGCTCCGATTTCTCCACATCCTACCTAGCATGTCTGTCTGTTTATTCTAGCCATCCTAGTGGATATGAAGTGGCATCTCAGTGTGGTCCTGATTTTTAATTCCCCAGTGACTGACAATGTTGAGCATCTTCTCATGGGCTCATTGGCCATTTGTGTATCTTCTTTAGAGAAATGTCTATTCAAAATCTTTGCCCATTTTAAAATTGGGTTATTTGTCTTTTATTGTTGAGTTATAAATGTTCTTTATATATTCTGGATAAAAGTCCCTTATCAGATACGTGATTTGCCTCTATATTTTTTCTCCCATTCTGTGGGTTGCCTTTTCACTTTCTTGATGGTGTCCTCTGATGAAGTCCCTGGTAATTTTGATGAAGTCCATCTCATCAATCTTCTCTTTTATTGCTGTGCTTTTGGTGTCATATCTAAGAGATCATTGCCTAAACCAGGTCATGAAGATTTACCACTATGTTTTGTCCTAAGAGTTTTGTCGTTTTCATTCTTGTACTTAGTTCTATGACCTTTATCTTACGATCTTAACTCCACTTTGAGTTAATTCAGTGTATGGTCTGAAGTGGGGGTCCAAATTCCTTCTTTTATGTGTGGATATCCATGTATCCCATCACCAGTGGTTGAAATCACTCTTCTTTTCCCATTGAATTGTGTTGGCCCCTTTGTAAAACATTGACCGTAAATGTATAGATTGATTTTCAGAATCTCAAATATATGCCATTGATCTATATGTCTATCCTTATGCCAATACAACACTGTCTTGGTAATTCTAGCTTTGTAGTAAGTTTTGAAATAAAAAAGTACGAGTCCTACAACTCTGTTCTTCTTTTTCAGCATTGTTTTGGCTATTCTGGGTCTCATGTATTTCTATATAAATTTTAAACTTGCCAATTTCTGGGGGAAAAAAAAGCCAGCTGGGATTTTGATAGGGATTGTGTTGAATCTGTAGGTCAGTTGGGGAGTATTGCCATCTTAACAGTATTCAGTCTCCCAATTCATGCACATGAGGCGTCTTTGCATTTATTTAGCTCTTCCTCAATTTTATTTTAACAATGTCTGGTAGTGTTTGATGTATAAGTCTTGCATGTTTTTAAGTTTCTTCTCTTTCTTGGTGCTGTTGTAAACAGAATTGTTTTTCTTCATTTCATTTTCAGCTTGTTTGTTGGTAGTGTGTAGAGATATAATTGATATTTGTATGTTTATCTTGTATCCTGCAACCTTTCCAAACCTGTTGTTAGTTCTAATAGTTTTTGTAGTGAATTCCTTGGATTTTCTACGCACAAGATTATGTCATCCGTAAATAGAGATATTTTACTTTTATATTTCCCTATTTATCTTTTGTGGTATGTTCATTCCTTCCTGCATGTCTGCACTTCCATCTGAGAATATTTCCTTTGTCCTGAAGAATTCCCTTTAGTATTTCCTGTAGAGCAGGTGTGCTGGGACTAAACCACTCAGATTCTAATTGTTTGAGAATGTCTTCCTTTTAGCCTTTATTTCTGAAGAACGTTCCCACTGGATGAAGAACTGTCGTTTGCAGCATTTTCCCCATCACTTTACAGATGCCATTCTATCATATTTTAGCTTCCATTGTTTCTGTTGAGAAATCAGATGTCTATATTATTGTTGTTCTCCTGAAAAATAAAGTGGGGTTTTTCTTCCTCTTGCTACTTTTAAGATTTCTCTTTATCTTTAATACAGCAAAGATACGCTCTACCGTGATATATCCTGTTTGGGGCTCGCTGAGCTTTTCGAATCTTAGGATTGATTTATTTCATCAGATTTAGGAATTCTTGACCATTTTCTTCAAAGACTGCTTCTTTCCTGTCTATTCTCCCCTGGTTCTCTGGTCGCAGTGTGCTGGCCCTTTGACCATGACCACATCCTTCTTGTGCCCTGTTCAGTCCTTTCCATTCTTTTTGCTCTGAGCTTGAGTTGGATATTTTCTACTGGTCTATCCTTAAGTTCGACAGTTCTGTCGTCTGTTGAGTCTCCTCTACTATTAAACCTGTCCAGTGGGTTCTTAATTTCATATGCTATGTTTTGCTGTTTTGGAATGTTCTTTTCATTCCTTTTCATAGATTCTCATTCCCTCTTGAAACATTCCAATTGTTAACCATTTTGTCCATTCTTTATTCTTTTTTCTCTTTTAACTTAGTACCTGTCATTATTTTAAGCCCTTTTCCGCTCCATTGTATGATTCATCTCTGGATCTGTCTCTATTGACTTGGTCAACTTCCTGTACAGTGTTGAGTTTTGTTCTGGCAGGCAGTTAGATTACTGGCAGGTCACCTTGATCTTGTTAAACTTCGTTTTAGATGTTAGAACAGCTCACTTCAGTTTTGCACTTATTGCTAAGGTGCATTTCTTACTCCTGTGTTGCAGTCCTTACTCCTACGGTGTGGCCTGGGCGTGTGGGCTGGAATCCCAGGGTGTGCACCCATCTCCCTCCTTTGCGTCTGGCTGGAGCTCCAGCACTCGGCTTCCTCTCAAGTCTTTGTTAGCCAGCAGCCACCTCTGTGCGTCAACAGCCTCAGAGCTCCGAGGACCCAGGGGCCTTCCTCACAGACTTGTGGCTCTCTGCTCTCCGCACAACACTCCTCAAGCCCAGGGCCCCTTAGCAGCCCCTAGTTCTGACCTCCACTCCTCGCCCAGCAATGCCTCTGCTCCCTCTTGGGTTCTGTTGCCCTGCCCTGTGGTTTGGAAAAGTGTCGTTAGGGAGAAAGCCGAAGTGAATGCAGGGCTCACCTCATGTGCTGCCTCCTCTCAAAGCCCTTCGCCCTGCGTCCATTGATGTCTAGTGCCAGGAAAGCAGGGCTTACTCTATTTCGTCGGGCTTTTACAGCTCTCTGTGGCAGGGAGGTAAGTCCTTACACTCAGAGTCCTTAGAGATCCCTGTGGGAGTTTGGGACTGACCCTGCAGGGATGGAGCCAGAGAAGGGATCTCAGGGGCAGGCCCCAGCCCCTCTCCAGGCCTCAGTTTCCCCAGCAGCCAATGCAGAGCTGTGCTGGAGGTTCCTTTGGAGTCCTCTCTGCCCGGACCAGGTCCAGAGTGAGGGCTGGGTGGAGACACGGAGGAGCAGATGGGGGTCTCAGTGCTTGGCTCCTGCTTCCCGCCTGCAGCCTGGGTGTCCTGGCTGGGATCTGGGAACCCCCACCAGCTGGCATCCCTGAATCAGCCCGTCCTCCCTGCCTCTGTCCCTGTTGGTTATCAGCAGACTTCGTCCTTGTTTGGGAGGAAGACCTGAAGCCAGGTCAGCAGCAGGACAACACCACCCGGGACAAGACAGACATGCACGGGGACTGGAGGGAGACCTTTCTAGACAACCTTCGTGCAGCTGGGCTGTGTGTGGACCAGGTACGGGGGGTCGGTTGTGGGCAGGGCCCTAGGCGCTGCATCCATTCAGTGACCTATGACCTTGCCCCACAACGCCTGAGGGCACGGTGTCCAGAGCCCTGGAACAAATTGAGCCCCAGAGTCCTACCAGATGGCACCCCCGCAGGGAGCTCCCGATGGCTTCAGGACCACTGATCACAGGCCGGGATAACACCCACCCATCGTGGCATGCCCAGCTCGGTCCTGGTAACCAGGGCCCTTCAGGTCCACCTGAAAACTCAGAAGGCAGTTCTCCATTCACATCCCATTTCCAAGGTCAAAGCTATGTCTAGGCGTAACATTTGTCACTATAGCTCTTTATATGTTTATAGAAGCCAACAGCTAAAAAGCTCCTTGCGCGTGTATGACATCAGATATAATAGTGGGTACCACCTAGAATGCTTTACGCCATTGCAGGGAGCTTGAGAAAGCGGGAAGGAGCTGTGTGGATGCTGCATGTGTGGTGGGGCAGGCGGGTACAAGTAGGTCTCGGAGCAGTTGGGGGTCAGGGCACAGAGCCCAGCCCCACTCGTCTCATCCCTGAGGCCCGCCGCTGGCTCCCTCTCCATGTCTCCTGCGTTCTCCGCCCTCCTTTCCGACCACGTGGCTTCCTCTGTTCCCCAGACACAGGCTCTGCCTTCTGGTGGCCTCTCCCACCCTGAGTAATCAATCCTGAATCTTATCTTACTCACATTCTTGCGTTTCTTTATCATTTTAACACAGCTTGATGTGGTCTGTTTGAACTTGGTAGAATGGACTCACACTCTGTGTAGCTCTCCCTGACATCCTGTTTATGAGGCCCATGCACAGTTGGTGCAGCTGCTGCGGCCATGTCATTGCTGTAGAGAGCCCCCCCCGTGTGACTGTCCCACCTCCTGCTCATCCATTCCAGTGTCAGTGGACACTTAACTTGTTCTGGTTTGGGGCTATTATAAAACTGGCTGCTGTCAGTTCTTTCGTGTGTGTGTGTGTGTGTGTGTCCTTGTGCCCAGGTGCAGGGCTTTCTCCTAGGGGCAGAGCTGCTGGCCCAGGGGGTGTGTGTATGGCCTCACCATTTTGCCAAGCGGTGGCCTCAATTTGCACGACTGTCAGGGTGAATGAGTGCCCCCTCCTCTGTGTCTTCTCAACACTCTGTAGTGTCCGACTTTAGAATGTTGACCAGTCTGGTTGGTGTATAGTGGCATCTCATGCAGTTTAGTTCACATTTTCCCTGATTCCTGAAGAGGTGGGGTATTTTTTGCATGTTCATGGGCTGTGTTTCCAATACTGTGAACTGCCTTCTCCTGTCTTGCTGTCAGGCTGTTTACGTTTGTCTTGTGATGCGCGGGAGCTCATGTATCCCAGAACCTCTTCCTTGGTGGTTACGTGCGTGGCATCTTCCCCAGGCCGCTTGCCCTTCGTGTTCTCACATTTCCTCCTCGGTGTGTGGGGTACGAAGTGAGCAGGCACTTCCCCTCGAGGCTCGCCCTCCTCGACCCCGAGGCCCACGGTTTGCCACACTCCCTTCCAGAGCTTCCTCTGTTGGCAAACATACACGATGGGATACACGATGGAGTTGGAGGTCAAGAGCTAACACCCCCTCCCCTTCCGAGTTTGGATCCACTTGACAGTCTGGTGGGTGGGATGAAAAGTCACCGCCTTTTATTATGGAAAAAGCTTATGGGATGGCGTGGCTTATAGATGTGGCCACATGAGTTTATAAAACCTTGATCCAAATTGGACTTCAGTGGGGGGCACAGAGGGCCAACCACAGGGGGCACCAGTGGGCAGCTTCCCCAACATATTGCCCAAAGTGCCCTCGGTCTTTGCTCTAAATGACAGTTCTCAGCTCTCAGCACACGTCACAGCCAGCTAGGGAGGCCCAAAGCACTGAGGCCCATGTCTGCCCGATGGGCATCTGTTCCAGCTGGGTCCAGGTGGGGCCTGGGCATTGGCATTTGGGGAGCCCCAGATGGCTGTGAGGCAGCGAGGGCTGAGAACCACTGGATTCAAGAGGGAGTTTGGAAGGCAGGTGTACAGTCAGTAGAGGCACCTCATCTTGGAGCCAGAAGTCCCCATCTCAGGGTTCCAGTGCCTGTCACATGTCCCCACATGTGTGAACATGTGCACACTTCTGTATGTACATGCAGAACATACACAGATACGCAGTGGCTTGTCCAAGGGCGAGACAATCATGCAATGTCTGCAAACCCAAAGCTGAATTTATTGCCCACTTACGTCAGGAGAGCGGTGTAGGTCAGGCCCAGTCTCTGACAAGGCCGAGGGTGCTCTGGCAGGCTTTGGGGAAGAGTGTGGTCGTTGTGCTGGTCCCAGAGCAGACTGGCTGGTGCTGGTCCTAGCAGCCCAGTGTTGTCTGTCTGTCGCTGACTGAGTTCCAAACAGGAGTGCTCACCGACTGGTGGGCCTTCAGAGGCGTGTTCACAGGGGCAAGTTGTCATTCATCAAGCTGCTTTAAAACCAGTGCTGGTTAGTCGTTACCATGGCTACAGAATCATCTGTCTATTCCGAGAATGTGAATGGACACACACACTTACACTCACGGGCACACACACACAGGCACACATGTACCCATACAATTATGCACGCACACAGACATGCACACACACACGTACACACACACATGCACCCTCAGCCTCTCACAGAGCCCCTTGCTCCCTGCAGCGTGACGTCCAGGATGCGGACAGCGCGGTGCACTATGTCCTCCTCAGCGCCCCCTGGGCCGTGCTCTGCTATTACGCCGAAGAGCTGCGCCTCAAGCTGCCCCTGCAGGTACCAGGGTGCATGGGGTGCAGGGAGAAGGCCTGGAGGTCCCCCCACAATCCCAAGTCACTCATGATTGCACCCAACATACCGGGTGCAGCTGCTGGTGCCGACACCCCTGGGGGTTCCCCACTCAGTGTCCTCGAGGACCCCTCCAAACCCCCATCACACTGTGCTCCAAGAAGCCTTGCTGGGCAGACAGGTCAGGGTGCTGTGACCCCTATGGTGGGCTCAGGGGAGGTGGAGGGGTGGACTGTGTGTGCAGCAGCCAAAGCTCTGAGCTGGCTGCCTGGGCCCCTCCAGGCTCTGACCCCGCCAGGCTGCTGAGAGCCAGCACTGCAGGCAGGGGAGGGGAAGCCCCAGCCTGGGGGACACAGGGTGGAGGGGGCAGCGGCTCCTGGGGGACCTCAAGATGACACTCCTGGGGGTGGTTCTGCCACCCACTCCATGGGCCCCCCTTCACCATCATAGCATGGAGATGGACAAAGAAACACGCTGCAACCCTCTTGTCCCTTCCTGCCTTGGGGGGCTCAGGGCCTCAAATTGACCCAAGCCTGAGGCCCGCGGGGAGAACGGGCTTGCCTGTTCCCTCCACTGGGTCCGTAGCAAGGCCAGGGGAGGCTCTGGCCCTCTGCTGGAGCCTTTCATCTGCTGCCCAGTGTGCAAAGCCACACCCCCCACCCACTGCAGCAGCCGCGTCCCCTCAGGAGTCGGAGGAGCAACCTAGGATTCCTTCCAGGAATTGCCCAACCAGGCCTCCAACTGGTCGGCCAGCCTGCTGGAGTGGCTGGGCATCCCCAACATCCTGCTGGAGGACGTGCCTGACCTGCCCCCGGAGTACTACTCCTGCCAGTTCAAAGTGAGCAAGCTGTCGAGGTGAGAGTGGCCGCCCTGCTGTGCTGGGTGGGGGCCCAGGCCGCATGGCGAAGGGAAGAGTCAGAGGAGTGCACCTGATGCCATGCTTTCCCCGCCCCGCGCTCGCTCCTTCCTGGAGCTTTGCACCCAGGGCCTGTGAGCTCAGGTGGGCATGCCCTAGAGCAGCCACATTTTCTGTAAGTTGTCCCCGGCAGTCACAGGCACTTGTGCTGTGGGACAAACATCCCTCAGACCTCGGTGGCTGGACATGCAGATCCCTTTCCTGCTCCACTACGTGTCTATGGAGGTGGGCAGGGCACCTCTTCCGTCACCATGTTACTGGCCAAAGCAAGTCACCTGGCCACACCCAGCCCACAGATAGGGGTAGTGTATAGGTGGGGGGCACTGGCGTATGGTCTGCACTGCGGACTCCCATGCGCTCCCACCGCCCGTGCTGAGAACCCCTCCTTTCTGGGCTGGGCGACCTTCAGCCACACACACGCTTGCCCCCACCCACAGGGGTTCCCAAAGTTCTGGTGTCCCAGAGAGGGCTCTGTGGTCAATCGTCCGTCCACACAGGCGACCACCAGCTGCCACCCACGAGGTCTTTGGTCCTGTGCTTGGAGCTACAGGGGTCACATGAAAGGGCTCTGGGCTCCTGGGTGAGCCAGGCGCTCCTGTACCCCTTGCCCTCTGCCCAGCCACAGTCCACTGTCCCCCACCCAGTGTCGGGGTTTCTGTGACATCTGGAGAACCCACTGTGACCTTCTGCCTCGGGAAAGGAAAAGGGAAAACTGAAATTGATTGTGGCACCGGTGGCAGTGGGTGTCTCCCAGGGTGGAGGTGGGGGCATGAGTGTGCATCAGTGTGTGCGTGTCTACAGGCCAGTGCATGTGCTCCCATGTGCGTGTTCTTCCCACGTGTGTGTGCTCCCATGTGTTCTTCTCATGTGCATGTGCTCCCACGTGCTTGTTCTTCTCATGTGTGTGCTCCCATGTGTGTTCTTCCCATGTGTGTGTTTTCCTGTGTGTTCTTCCCATGTGTGTGTTTTCCCGTGTGTTCTTCTCAGGTGTGTGCGCTCCTGTGTGTTCTTCTCAGGTGTGTGTGCTCCTGTGTGTTCTTCTCATGTGCGTGTGCTCCTGTGTGTTCTTCTCATGTGTGTGTGCTTCCGTGTGTGTGCTTCTCATGTGTGTGTGCTCCCGTGTGTGTGCTTCTCATGTGTGTGCGCTCCTGTGTGTTCTTCTCATGTGCATGTGCTCCTGTGTGTTCTTCTCATGTGTGTGTGCTTCCATGTGTGTGCTTCTCATGTGTGTGTTTTCCCGTGTGTTCTTCTCAGGTGTGTGTGCTCCTGTGTGTTCTTCTCATGTGTGTGTGCTCCTGTGTGTTCTTCTCATGTGTGTGTGCTTCCGTGTGTGTGCTTCTCATGTGTGTGTGCTCCCGTGTGTGTGCTTCTCATGTGTGTGCTCCTGTGTGTTCTTCTCATGTGTGTGCTCCCACGTGTGTTCTTCCCATGTATGTGTTCTCCCGTGTGTTCTTCCCATGTGTGTGCTCCATGTGTTCTTCCCATGTGTGTGCACTCCCGTGTATGTGCTTCTCATGTGCGTGTGCTTCTGTGTGCATGTTCATTTCATATGGATGTGCTCCCACGTGTGTACTCTTTTCATGTGGATGTGCTCCATGTGTATGTTCTTATCATGTGCATGTGCTCCGTGTGCATGTTCGTCTCTTGTGGATGTGCTCCCATGTGTGCTCTCTTCTCATGTAGATGTGTTCTATATGTGTTTTCTTTTCATGTGTGTGTGCTCCAATATGCATGCTCTTCTCATGTGTATGTGCTCCAAGTGTGTGTTCTTCTCATGTGCGTGTGCTCCATGTGCGTGCTCTTCTCATGTGCATGTGTCCCCATGTGCATGCTCCTGCATGTGCACATGTACTCCAGTTCCATATGTTTCATACACCCACAGGTTCCTTGGGAGTGACAACCAGGACACCTTCTTCTCCAACACCCAGAGGCACCAGATTGTGAGTGGGGGGTCCCTGCTGTGGGCCCCCAGCCCTGCCTGGCTCTGAGAGGCCTGCCGGCGCCAGACTTCCTTACCTGAGCTGGGAAAGAAGCCCTCCGTGGACACAGGAAGGCTCCCCTGGGGTCAGAGGGCTGAGGCCCTGGCGCTAGGAGACTGGCGGCCTAGAGGCTGCCCCCCCAGCTCATTGCACAGGGGAGCACGTGCCGAAGCTGCACAAGCACAGCTGGGCCCTGCCCCCCATCCCAGGGATCCCTCAGGGCCCAGAACGGATGTCACAGTGATGGACTTGTGGGACAGACAGCCAAGACCACCAGGCCCGGGTGGGCGTGGGTCCCGCTGGCCAGTGAGGAGGGAGCCGAGGGACCGAGCAGACTAGAGCTGCGGCGTCCCTGAGGAGGGCGGGCAGAGTGGGGTCGCTCCAGGAGGCCTGCTCCCATGGCCTGTGGTGGGGAAGGGGCTCCCACAGGCCTGCCTAGGAAAGACCTCTGCTGACCACTGGGGGCACGAGGCCACATGGGCCTGCCCAGGCAGGCAGTGCCACCCGACCCAGGTGTCCTCCTGGAGGCTGCCTCCTGCCCAGAGCACAGGTCCAGGATGGCTGTGCACAGGCAGGGCCTGGGTTCAAATCCAGACTCGACTCCTCTGAGCCACCTGGCTCTGGCCAAGGTCTTCGCGTGAGCGAGTGGGAGAATGACCACAACTGGGGGGCTGTGGTGTGTGTTAGCCGGTGAACGAAGAAGACCTGGGCGTGCAAAGCATTGTCACCAGAGGGCTGCGGGAGGCCGTCGCGGGCTTACCCCCGAGAGGGGCAGGCTGGGATGTCCCCACCCCCCCATCACATGACAATTGACCAGTGCCATCCCCACCAACCCATAGCTGTTTGAGATCCTTGCCAAGACCCCATATGGCCACGAGAAGAAAGGCCTGTTTGGGATTGACCAGTTGCTGTCAGAGGGTGTCTTCAGCGCGGCCTTCCCTCTACATGATGTGAGTCCTGGGGGGCTGGATGCGCCAGGGGTGGGGGCTCAGTCCTGGGCATGGGGGTGAGTTCCTGGATGAGGAAGACCCCCTGGTCCTGCTGTCTACCCCAGGAGACTGGGGGGCCTGGGCCCTGCCCTCCTGTGCTGGGCAGCTGTGGTCAGACACGCGCTGTGCTGGGGGCCAGCAATGCACTTGTGATGTGACCGGGCCACGCTCAGCCTGTCTGAGGCTGTGGGCGGCCACACGCTGTCCTGGCCAGGTAACAGGCCCGGCATCTCCACCTTCCTAGGCAGCTTCCCTCTCCGAGAAGTCAGTAAGATCTGTGCTCCTCAGGCAGCCGGGTAAACTGAGGCAGTGCCAGGGAGGCAGCTGCCACTGCGCCTGACTGTCATCCTTGACCAAATGTATACCGTGTGTGGCTGTTTACGCCCTGGCCCCCCGCAGCCACCCACCACGAGACCCTCAGAGCTGCAGGCAGGGGCAGCGGGGCCTCAGGGCCCGGGTCAGGCTTGTACCCACTGCTGTGTGACCGTGGGCACAGTCCCTCCCCGAACACCACCCAGGGGTTAAATGAGGGTGTGGACGGGAATACCCACAGCCCTGCTCCCCATCACTTCTGGCGCCAGGGCCCGGGGGGACACACAGAGCCTGACACAGTGGCCTCACTGGCTCGGCCAGTGCTGGACGCTGCACAGCACAGGCAGCAGAGTCCCCCACCCAGAGATACTCACCCCACCCTGGACTGCAGTTGCTGGCTCCTCCTGGGCCACCCTGCCCGGGTCCCTCCTCTACCCTGGACTCAGACCCTGGAAGCCCAGGCCGAGGGGCTCGACTCAGAGTCCCTTCCCAGACCCCCGGCACCCAGCGGGATTCTGTTTTCTTCCTCAAGCAGCAACTCTAGTTCCCAGGGTTTGTCGCCCGTCTCCCCATGCCGAGTGGCACATGGTGTCGCTCAGTGCTGAAGCCCCCACACCTAGAACTGTCCAGTAGGGACGGTGCCCAGACCAGCCTGGACTCTCCCACCTATGGCTTCTTGTCCCCAGGGCCCCTTCATGACACCCCCGGAGGGCCTGCAGGCTCCGGGCCTCAACCAGCGTCAGGTCCTGTCCCAGCACTGGGCCCGCTGGCGCAAGTGGAACAAGTACCAGCCTCTGGACCACGTGCGCAGGTACTTCGGGGAGAAGGTGGCCCTGTACTTCGCCTGGCTCGGTGAGTCCCACGCCCACTGCCCCTCGGGCCTCCCAGGCCCCCCGACTTGATCTGCAGGGTGACAGTCTGCTAACCCGTGTCCCCAAGAGGCCAGTGCTCCCCGACTCCCAACCCTGACGCTGCCCAGCTCCCCTGGACCCCCGGCCCAATAACATAACTGAGCACTGTGGCTGTCCTAGAGCCCTGTTAACAGCCCAGAGAGGGACTGGGAGCCCCCGTCTGCAGGCAAGGGCCCCTCCTGACTCCAGCCCTCAGTGTCCCTGGCCCACCAGACATGCCCCATGAGACCCCGGGTCACCCCAGGAACCAGTGACCTGGCGGAGGTCACCCCTGCCCCGGGGTCCAGGGAGAGTGGCCCTCTCACCTCCTCCAGGCAGGCTGTCGTCTTCAGAATGGGTGTCTGCCCTGGGCAGCCCCGAGGCTCCTTGCTCCCCTCGTGGGCTCAGTTCTTGCCCCACCCCCCCCAATTCTGTGTCCAGCCTTCTAAAGTTTTTTCTTGTCCCCAAACACAGCATATGTGCCCCCTCCCCAGGCCTATGCAGTCCTCCAATCATGCATGTATGCATCTGTTCAAATGGCTAGCCATGTTGGGGTGCCGTGCACAGTGGGGAGACCCTGCCCTCAAGGAGTACACTGGCTGTGGGTGACACAGAAGAAAAGGCCACCCACAGCCACTGTGGACCCAGACAGGGCGGGGGCTGCCTGCTGTGGAAGGGTGCGCCAGGCCAGGGCGTCGGGGCCAAGGCACAGCACATGTGCGAGGACCCGAGGCTCCTCTCAGGGCCAGGGAGGAGTGGGAGCCAGGGGACAGCAAGGCCAGGCTGGAGGGTCGCACAGGGTGGTCTTCCTCTGGGTTCTAGACAGAGCAGCATCTTACAGAGGGCACTCTGGCAGACACAGGGCTGGAGCAGGACCCCAGGCTGGGGCTGGGCTGGACTCGTGGGAGGCAGACGGCTGCACACCGGAGGGATGGGGGGTAACTGAGGAAGCTGGCCCTGGGGGGTGCGGGGCAGGGTGGCATCCAGAAGGACCCTCAGTCTCCTAGGGCTGGAACATGGTAGGCACTGAGCCTCTCCTAAAGGGGAGGTGCATCCCACGTGTGTTGGTTGAGGCAGATGGAGCTCAGGAAAGTGGTGTCCAGGAGGTGGGAAGCACAGGCGCCGGAGCCCCAGGCGCTCGGGTGCCGAGGTAAATGGGATGGGGTGTCCAGGGTCCAGGGCAGAGGCCAGGAGGGAGGGACTGTGCTGAGAGCTGCCAGGGGGACTCCTGAGGACCGCGCCCCTCACCGCTTCCTCCCAGAAGGCTTCAGACCCCGGTGGCTGCATGTGGTCTGTGGGGGACAAATGTGGCTGTGCAGATCTCCACCTGGCGCTCAGCCCAATTCTGGGTACACAGGCCCACCGGTTCACTGCCAGCCGACCTCCGTGTCCCCCTGCAGGGTTCTACACAGGCTGGCTCCTGCCAGCAGCAGCGGTGGGCACGCTGGTGTTCCTGGTGGGCTGTTCCATGCTGTTCTCAGACACACCCACGTAAGTGTCCTCTTGCCTCCGCTCCCAGGCCTGCCCTGTGTCTCCTGAGGCCGGTGTGCAGTGAGGAGAACCCACAGGTGCCAGGCCCCGTGCAGAGCTGGGGATGGAGGTGAGGGCTGGGCACATACTGCCCTCATGCACGTCACAGAGGGCCCTGTGGACCTGGCTAGAAGGCTGATGCAGGTGGACAGGTGTGCCTCCAGGCTGACGCAGGTGGACAGGTGTGCCCAGCCTGACACAGGTGGACAGGTGTGCCCTCACGCTGATGCAGGTGGACAGGTGTGCCCAGGCTGACACAGGTGGACAGGTGTGCCCCCACGCTGATGCAGGTGGACAGGTGTGCCCCCACGCTGATGCAGGTGGACAGGTGTGCGCCCAGGCTGATGCAGGTGGACAGGTGTGCCCCCAGGCTGATGCAGGTGGACAGGTGTGTGCCCAGGCTGATGCAGGTGTGCCCCCAGGCTGACACAGGTGGACAGGTGTGCCCCCAGGCTGATGCAGGTGGACAAGAGTGCCCCCAGGCTGACAGGTGGACCACTGTGCTCCCAGGTTAATTTTATTGGCACTTACCCTTGTTTCTTATGATAGTGTCAACTTTTCTTATAATAAGTGAATGACTGGACTTGGGCATTATTTTATTACAGAGCTAAAATTTCAAAATGTTATCTCAAAACTTGTCATGCCACATATTTTAAAACTACTTTTTAAAGAGACCCTGGGCCTGGCCAAGGCAGTGGTGGGAGGGAGAGGGTGAGCGTGGGACGGGCGGGGAGGGCTGTCCGCATGTCTCCACGAGCCCCCCCGCCCTGAAGGCAGGAGCTGTGCAGCAGCGCAGACAGCTTTGAGATGTGCCCGCTCTGCCCCGACTGCCCCTTCTGGCTGCTCTCCAGCATCTGCGCCCTGGTCCAGGTACAAGGAGGGAGTGGGCGGGCTGAGGAAGGCAGCTCCCCAGGCTCTCGTGCTGCCCCTGTGACCCCTGCTCTGTCGCCGTTTGAGGCAGAGCCCATGAGTTTTCTAACCTCTGTGGCCATGTCCCACCTGGATGGGGTTACAGTGGGTGCCTGCCTCTCAGCCCTCGGCAGAGAGCCGCATGCAGTCGGTGCCCATACGGTAGCACTGTCTGTTATCACTCTTATTGTGGAACTAGCCACCAGGGTCATGTGGAGGACCCCTCAAGGCAGACAAGCCCTGAAGCTCTCAGGGCCAGACAGCCTGAGCAGAATCTCTGCCTGAAGAGGCCAGGCGGGAGGCTCCCCAGAGTCCTGGAGCCCGTGGCCCACATGTCAGCCCAGCACGCTGCCGGGTGGGTCAGCTTCTCCCTGGGAACAGCAGCCTCGCCTGCCTCCCGCACATGCTGGGCCTGGAGCCCAGGTGCCCCGATGGACCCACAGCCCAGACGCACCTTTGCCACACTCCTGGGAATCCATCTGTGTCAGAATCCGGGGGCTGCTATAACAAATTGTCCTAACTGGGGGCTTGAAACAACCGAAATTGACTCTCTCCCAGTTCTGGAGGCTGGAAGTCCAACCTCAAGGTGTCGGTAGGTCGGTTCCTTCTGGAGAACCTGTTCTGTGCCTCCCTCCTTGTTTAGGGGGGCTGCCCCGAATCGTTGGTGTTTGTTGGCTGTGGCAGCCTCACCCCAGCCTCTGCCTCCTTCTTCCCGTGGCCTCTCCCTCTGTGTGTCTCTCTGTCTGCTTCCTTCTCTTCTAAGGATTTGTCATTTGGGTTAGGGATCCCCCAAGTCTGGAGCACCCTCACTGGAGATGCTCACCCTAATTACGTGTAAACAGCCCTCACCTTCTGAGGCTCAGGTGGACATGTCTCTGGGGTCACAGCTCAATCCACCACAGTCCTTCCTCTGGCCCCCGAGACTTCGTGTCCATCCCATGTGCAACATACATTTGCCCCCAACACCCCAAAGTTCAGACGCGCTACAACCTTAACCGTAAGTCCAAAGATCTCATCTAAATGTCAACAGCTCAGAAAGGCCCAATCTCGTCTAAATCAGTCACGTCGGGCACGGGGGAGACTCGGGTGTGGGCCATCTGGGGTGACAGTCCTCTCCCTCTGTGGGCCTGTGCAGAAGGACAGGAGGCATCTGCTTGTAAAATGCAGTGATGGACAGGCACGGGACATGCGTTGCCACTCCACACTGGAGAAATCGGGGGGCATAAAGGGTCCCCCAGTGCCAAGCAGGTGTGACCCCGCCCGCCCGCCCGCAGGCTGGCCGGCTCTTTGACCACGGCGGCACCGTCTTCTTCAGCCTCTTCATGGCGCTGTGGGCCGTGCTGTTCCTGGAGTACTGGAAGCGGAAGAGCGCCACACTGGCCTACCGCTGGGGCTGCTCCGACTATGAGGACGTTGAGGTGGGTTGTCGCCCCGCCTGTGGCCGCTCCCCGCGAGGGCCACTGCTAAGCACTGGCTCCCTTCTAGGAGAGGCCGCGGCCCCAGTTTGCCGCCTCGGCCCCCACGATGGCCCTGAACCCCATCACTGGCGAGGACGAGCCCTACTTCCCCGAGAGGAGCCGCCTGCACCGCGTGCTGGCTGGCTCCGTGGTGGTCGTGATGATGGTGAGGGCGCTGCCTCCCCGCCCACCCCTCTGCGTCGCCCCTCCGTCCTCCAGAGCCGCGTGTGGCAGCTTTCGTCCCCCTTCCCACTTTGGGGCCAGGGCCTGATGCCTGCTCTGACCCAAAAGACCCTCACTGCCATCCAAAAAAGCCCCCTGTGCCTGGACTCCAGGGAGTGGCCAGGCTAGGGGTCTGGCTGTAAGAGGCGGGCATGTGCCGGGCAGGGGCTCACGCTGGGAAGTTGCTCCATGAATGTGGGCCTGGGGCATCCTTCAAGTTTAGGGGGGCAATCCCAGCACCAGGGGGTCCACCATACCCTGCCTTGGCCTCCAGCCAAAGGGGCTTCCAGCTGGATCCCTGCCCTCCCCTTCCAAGATGTCAGGAATTCCCAGTTTTTGGCTGGTGAAGGGTGGGGTGGGGGAGGAGGGAAGGTTCTCCAGCACCTGAGCCGAGGACAATGCACAGTGGCCCCCTTGACACCCACATGTGGTCCACCTTCTCATTCTAAAGGACCTCCCTCCCCCTGTCTCCCACCTCCCCCTCCAAAGCTCCCTGTCCCCCCCCACCAGCCTGCCAGGAATGGGAGGGAGCACGGCCTGGTCTAGAGGCAGGAGCAGCGATGGAGCTGCTGGGGGCTGTGGCCCGAGGGCGCTGGGGTGCCAGGCTGGGCGTGGGGCTCACGTGCCTGACTGCCCGCAGGTGGCCGTGGTGGTCATGTTCCTTGTGTCCATCATCCTGTACCGGGCCATCATGGCCATCCTGGTGTCCAAGTCGGACAACACCGTCCTCGCAGCCTGGGTGAGCCTCCACTGCTCCTGCGGGGGTGGGTCTGGACCACCACCCCAGCACCCCTCTCTGACCCGCCATCTCCCATCAGGCGTCGCGCATCGCCAGCCTCACGGGGTCCGTGGTGAACCTCATCTTCATCCTCATCCTCTCCAAGATCTACGTGGCCCTGGCCCACGTCCTGACGAGGTGGGGTGAGTGGCCAAGGCTGGCCCTGCCAGCCACAGTCAGAATGTGACTTTGTCACGGATCTACAGGGTCCTCATGTGTGAAGGAGGCACAGCTGGGGTGTGTGGGACCCCCCCACCAGATCGCTTAACCAACAGTGAGCAGGGCCTCCGTGGTGGGGCGAGGGGGCCCCCTCCAGCCATCTACTTCCCTGTGTCTAAGGTGACTGTAGGTGGCATCTCCTCTCCCTCCCTCCGCTCTTCCTCCCCGCTCTCTGCCTCCCTCCCTCATTTCCTAAGGACAGATGCTAATGAGCCAATCCCTTGGGCCACAGGTGGCTTGTCTGTCAACGGACCTGATCAGAACAGGGACAGAGAGCTCAGTGCTCACAGGAGGAGGACGATGGGCAGGAGAGTGCAGTGGAGGAAATGGCGGTGGGGGGGTTGGTCCCAGGGAGACCAGGGTAGGAGAGGGCAGGGGCTGCACCGGGGAGTCACCCAGGGTGTTCCTGCAATGTGGGCCCTGCGTCCCCTTCTCCCAGCCTCAGGTGTCCCCTCTCGTTAACCTTTCCTGCTCCCAGCTCCCTCTCAGGACCCACTCCCAGTATCTCACCACCTGGCCCATGCTCTTCTGTCACCCTGACTGCGCCCCCTGCTCCCCGGGGCCACACCATGTTCATTCTCACTGTTTACTGTCACTCGTCCCTGCTCTTCCTTTACCAACACGACGATTTTAGATGATTTTGAAATTAGAAATTTAGGACTGTCGCACTGGGCCCCTTCTTGAGTGGATGTCTTCACACTATCCGGGCGCCCGGCAGCTCCCTCACTCTCTGATGGCTGAGGGGGTCCTCCATGCAGAGGGGACCTTGAGGCGACTGAGCCAGTGCTCTCTGTGCCGCAGAAATGCACCGGACCCAGACCAAGTTCGAGGATGCCTTCACCCTCAAGGTGTTCATCTTCCAGTTCGTCAACTTCTACTCCTCGCCTATCTACATCGCCTTCTTCAAGGGCAGGTCCGCGCCCCTCTGCTGCGCTGGCCCTTGGCCTGCTGTGCCCTCCGCTCCTGTGTCCCCTCGATGCCCAGGGAAGGGGGGACGGCATGGGAGACCGGGCGGCCTGGGGCTCGTGCTTCCTGTGGTCAGGTGGGGGCGGAGAAGAGCCAGGCACACCCTCAGGACCCTGCTCCCGCAGGTTTGTGGGGTACCCCGGCAACTACCACACCCTGTTCGGGATCCGCAATGAGGAGGTGAGTATGCAGCGAGAGTGGACCCACTCCTGTGACCCCCAGCAGCTGCTCGCCCCCCGCCCCCGGCACCCCAGGACTGCCACACTTGCTCATCACACCCCTTCTCTGCCATCCATGAAACACTCACCATGGGTGTGTCCCTCGTGTGTCAGCCTCCCCCATTTTAACTGGAGTCACACCTGAGCCGAGTTCCAGCCACTGTGACGGCCCCGGAGCCGCTACCACTGGCCTGGCCTCCCCCAACTGTCACCCCATGAGCACCAGCCACTCCGCTCGCCCTGGAGCCCAGTGGCTCTGCAAGCCGGGCTGGCCCTGTGGTTTCAGAAACTGGAAGCTGGTTCGGCACAGGAGGGAGCACGGCTGTAGTGTGGGTTCCCCAAAGCAGACCCCAAGACAGAGACCCGGGGGCGAGCAGTGGGCGTGGGCATCACCCCGGAAGCAGGCGAGGGGCAGAGGGTTTGCGGGAGGGGTGCATCTGTGAGTACTTGAGAGATGGTCACCACTGGGGGCACCTGGGCTCCACCTGCCCTGGATCCTCCCAGACGTAGAAACCCCCAGAGTTGTACCCCAGCTTCTGGTTCCTCAGTGGCCATGGGCCAAGCATGCCCTGAGGCTGGGGTGCAGGCAGCATGGATGGCTGTGTCCAGAACAGTCCACAGGTGGCCTCTGGGCTGGGCCAAGGAGCACCATGCAGGGGGGCGGCGGGGTGTCTCCCTCTTTCCCACGGGTCTGAGCTCTGACCCAACCTGACAGCTGCCTCCAAAGTGGCCACCCCCAAGGGACACTCTCCACGTCACATGAGAGGGGAGGGGCTTCTCGGGGACAGGTTACTGGGACCCCCACTCAGGGGCGTAAGTGCACAGGACGTGCTGTGTCAGTCAGTCAGCGGGAAAGTTCCCAACTCAAACTGGCTTAATCCAAAAAGTTTCCTTGGCTCCTGTATGGACAACGTTCAGGGCTCTGTGGGCTCAGGTGTGGCTGGATCCAGGTGTTTACACGATGTTGCACTGCTTTCCCTACTACTGGCCACGCTCTCAGGCAGCTTCTCCCCACCTGGTGAGGAAGACACCCCAACAGCACGGCTGACACCCTCAGCTCAGTACTTCTGTGCAAGGCGTGCTGTCCCGGAGCTCCTCCTAGAAGCCCCAGGCCCTGGGCTCACTCAAACTGAGTCACCGATTGGTGGGGCCTGCACCTTGGGTCCTCCCTGGAACCACAGGCTAGGGTCAGCCCTGTGTAACCCCATGTGGGTCCCGAAAGGAAAACCAGGGTGCCGTATGGCAGTGCCCCTGGTCGTTTCCATTCACTGTCTGCCAGTTAGACCTGAGGGGAGACTGGGGGGGGCTTCAGTGATATTGAGGAGAGGGATGGAGGGAGGGAGGGTTTTGGCAGTCCTCAATGTGCTCAGGATATGTGTGAAAGGGAGGTGAGGGCATGACAGGGCCACCTTTGAGGCATAGAGAGGGATGAGTGGACAGGAGGCCAGTCCCTCCCTGAGCTAACCTGGGCCCTGCTGCTGTAGTGTGCGGCCGGGGGCTGCCTCATTGAGCTGGCACAGGAGCTGCTGGTCATCATGGTCGGCAAGCAGATCATCAACAACGTGCAAGAGATTCTCGTCCCGTGAGTCACCCCCACCCCGCCCTGGGCAGCATCCAGGGACCGTGGGCCCAGTGTCTGGGGCAGCAGCCCAGCCCAGCCCCAGCCTGGGAGAGGTGGAGGGAAGGCGAGTCAGCCCCTCCTGGGCCTCAGCACCACAGTGCAGGGGAGGGGGAGGGCTTCCTCAGCCACATCCCAGGCTCTGCGACACCCCCACCCCAGGTGGTTGCCCATTGAGCTCTCCTGCCCCGGGGCCAGCTTTGGGGCTGGGAGGGGGCCTGGGTTCTTGGCCCAGCCTGAGGCTACTGCGGCTGGGCCTCCCCACTCTCCGACGCAGCGCCAGAGACGGAAGCAAGGGGAGGCCTCAGGGGACCTTACCAGGGATGGCCCAACCACTGGGGTCCCATCTCCTCAGGGCCACCCCCACTGTCACCATTGTGGCCCATCAAGGCAATTGGGCCACCCTCCCAGGCCGGAGCCACCGCAAAGGATGGCAGAGGCTGGACCTGACCTGGACATGTCCCCCAACCCCACCCCTGGCACATCAGCTATCCACCTCCCGCCCTCCACGGCAGCTCCTGACTTGGCATCAGCTCCCCTGGGGCACCACGAACCCTAGCTGTGGGGCTTTGGCCAAGCCCTGTCCCCTCTTTGGGTGGCCCTGGTTCTCAGGGCACCAACGTGCTCTGAAGCTGAGCTCACAGACACCACGAGTGCAGGGCGCAGCTGGGTGCCTGGTGGGGCAGGGGCTGGACGAGTGACAGTGGGCGAAGCCACATGCACACATGCCCCCACTGGCACAGCGATAGTCCTGATCCACTCCCTCAACCTTGACATAGCTCTTGGCACTTCTTTGAGTTCCCAGGAGGAATCCAGCTCCATAGGCTTCCGTGAGCCATGCCATGTGGCTTGTCCTGCGGGTGCTGCAGGGGGGCTGGCGGAGGGGTGTGGCCCCTCAGAAGGACACAGATGCTCTCATCCACTCTGTCCTGCGAAGGCCTTGCCCCACCGTGCTCGCCCGTGGCCCCGGCGCCCCATCTCCCTGCTGCCCTTTATCTGGGGAGCCAGCAGGCCCAGCGTGGAGGCAGGGCCATCTTCCCCGTGTCTCCCTCTCCAGGAAGCTCAAGGGCTGGTGGCAGAAAGTCCGGCTGCGCTCCAGGAAGAGGCAGGCGGGCGCTGCCGTGGCAGCTGGCCGGGCGCCCTGGGAGGCGGACTACGAGCTTCTGCCCTGCGAGGGCCTGTTTGACGAGTACCTTGAAATGGGTAGGAGCCATGTTAGTGGCCACGGACACGCCAGCACCGTGGGCAGGCTGGGGCAGTCACACCACTCACGGGGCTTCCAGCCTCACCTTCCCCGGTCTGCATCCACCTTGACACGTGATGTGCCCGTGGCGGTGGGGACAGAGGGGCCTGCAGAGAATCCGAAGGGGAATTGTGGGGGTCAGAGTGGGCAACACCCAAGAAAGGCCGGCCGAGGAGGGGAAGGAGCAAGCGCCATGGGCACAGGGGTCAGGAGAAGACCTGGGGGCAATTGACGGGTCTCCTGGAGTGGCTTTAATCTCCTCCCACCCAGGAAAGCATGACCAGAGCCTCGTGGGAAGGGAGCCAGGAAAGAAGCAGGGTCTCGGGGGAGCGGGCCCTGGGGGTGAGGGGCACACTGCGCCTGGGAGCCTGGGAGTTGATTTTCTCCGGCAGTTCTCTCCATGCCCACGGTCTTTGCTGGCCCCTCGGCTGTGCCCTTGCCGGACGGCGGCCCATACCTAAGGCTCATTCCCCTCACGGGCGGTGCACCTTTGAGGGCAGGGTCTGTGTCTAACGTCGCACAGTCCCTGCAGCCCAGGGTCCTACTCTGAGATGACAGAGGGGAAGAACAGGGCACGCTCCGAACCCAGAGTGCTGCATCTCAGCCCCGCACATTGCTCTGAGCTCCCCGGCAGCCAAAGCAACTGGGGTGACAGCAGTGGCCTTATTCCACGGATAAAGGGGCAGGCCAGCTCACAGGGGAGACATGCTTTTTCATGATAACTCGGGGGCGGGACGGGAGGCGCGTAGAGGGAGGGGGGTTCACCTCGTGTGTCCCCACTCCAGCGGACAACAGGCAGTGAGACCCCAGGCTCTCTTGAGTAATGCTACAGAAGACCCGGAACCCCTTCCAAGGAGCCATTTCCTAAAGCTCCCCTGAGAGGGGTGAATGGAGGAGCCAGACCCCAAATCAGAAGCAGGTTTCTGCGCCCTCTCCTGCCACGAGCTACAGGGCGGGCGCGGCCCGGGGCCCCCAGGGAGCATGCGCATCCAGCTGGGTGTGAGCAGTCAGGGAGGCGCCCTGGGGGAAGGGACCCAGGAGCGGAGCCTGCAGGATGAGTAAGAGCAGGAGGAGAGGGGTGGCCCGGGGCTGAGACCCTTGTGGACAGAGAGGTGTCCCCAGGGCCTCCCCTGCAGGGCGCACGTGCAGGGTTTACCGCGGGCGGGCAGCGGCGGGCCCTGGTCGCAGGCGCGAGCGGGGCCCCGGGGCCGCGGCGTGGCGGTGACCCGCGCCCCCCGCAGTGCTGCAGTTCGGCTTCGTCACCATCTTCGTGGCCGCCTGCCCGCTCGCGCCGCTCTTCGCGCTGCTCAACAACTGGGTGGAGATCCGCCTGGACGCGCGCAAGTTCGTGAGCGAGTCCCGGCGCCCGGTGGCCGAGCGCGCGCAGGACATCGGCATCTGGTTCCACATCCTGGCGGGCCTCAAGCACCTGGCGGTCATCAGCAACGTGAGCGCGCGCGCCGCCCCGGGGGCGGGGGTGGGGGCGTGGCGCTCGGCCCCGCGCTGACCGCCCGGCCGCCCAGGCCTTCCTGCTGGCCTTCTCCTCCGACTTCCTGCCGCGCGCCTACTACCAGTGGAGCCGCGCCCGCGACCTGCGCGGCTTCGTCAACTTCACGCTGGCGCGCGCCCCGCCCGCCTTCGCCGCGGCGCACAACCGCACGTGCAGGTGAGGCGGGCTCCAGGCGCAGCCGGGCGGGGGCGGGGGCGGGGGCGGGGGGGGGGGGGGGGGGGGGGCGGGGGCGGGGGCGGGGGAGGGACGGGGAGGGGCCCTGGGAAGAGACCGGGGGAGAAGCTCCCCAGGGGAAGGGAGCAGGCCTGAAGGACAGGGAGGAAAGAAAGGTCCAGAGCGCCCGTGGCCCCAGCCTGCCTTTCCTGCCTCGGGAGCCCCGCGCGTTGTGGGACAGGACGTCGGTGGTCAGCAGAACTCAGCGCTGCGGGAGGGGATTGCGGTGACCAATCCGATGTCTTTATGGGCATAGGTGTCCCTTTTCTATTTCTTCTTGAGTCAATCTTGGTAATTTTGATTTTTTTTTTTTTGGCAGAAAAGTCCATTTCAGCTCAGCTTTAAAATGTAATGACACAATTTATTCTAATATTCTCTCATGAGTTCCTTAAGCCCTCCTGTTTCTCTAGTTATGGCCCCATTTTCTTTCCAGATGCAGTTTGTGTCTTTCCTCTTAAAAGTCAGTCTCCTGGAGTTGAAACCTTAGCTCACTCGTTTTCAGTCTTTCCTGGGTTTTCATAAAGAAACGTACGTCTGTAAATTTACTTAAAGCCTCATTCCCTTAGTGTGAATCACCCTTCTGTTCTTCACTTCTCAATCTTTCACAACTTCAGGTGTGATTTCCCTGTTTATCCATGAATTACTTAGGAGAGTAACTTCCCAAACACATGGAGTTTTTCCTTTTTGATCCTTTTAAAAAATCACTGATTCTGGTTTAATTGCTTGGAGGTCAGAGAACCTGAAGTAATGATGAAAACCTCTCATTTATTGAAGCTTCTTTTATGATCTGGTCACAGTGGGTTTTTGCGTGTTTCAGGTGAACTTGAAAAAAATCTGACTAATTTTGGGGTGAGGTTCTATATCTACCTATTAGGTCAGAGTTCTTAATTTTATTGTTCAGATTTTGATTTTTTTCCCCTGCTTGATCTATCAAATTCTGATAGAGGTGAGTTAAAATCTTTTCAGGAATGTAGGGTTATCAGTTTCTTGTAGTCCTGTCAGGTTTTGCTTTATGTATTTTGAGGTTCTTAGTTGCATAAAAGTTTGTATTTGTGATCCCTTCTTAGTGGATACTTCTTCCACTGCCATTCTTTTTTTTAATTCTTCTTCTCCTGCCTTCTGGCGGCTGAGTGAAAGCATTCTGTATTTTTTTTCTCTTTATGCTCATTTGGAACTGATGGTTTTTTATTATTTTTATTATTTTAGGAATTACCCTTATATTTTCACCATATGTTCTTAACTGTACATTGTCCTAACCAAGCCTGAAGGAATTCATTTTTGTCTTCTCTCCCTGGCATGACAAAGACCTTCATGTGTTTACCCCCTGTTGAGCACCCATCAGTCCATCTTACTATTGTTGTAGAGTTTTAATTACTATTTAAAATACACAAAACATCTTTAGGCATTTGTTAATCACATCTGTTTGGTGTATTTTACTAACTTCTGTGGCTACAATAGCTTCTTATGCATTGCCTTCCCTCTGAGTTCATTTTTCTTCTTGCTGAAGTATGTCCTTTAATAGCTCTTTCAGGAATGATGTGTGGTTGGTGAACTCTTACATATGTTGTTTTTTATATGTCTGAAAATATCTCTGTCTTTGTCCTTTAAATACCAGGTAGAACATTTTAGGTTAAGATTTACTTTCCCTCAGCTCTTTGGAAATATTACTTTATAGTGACCTGACTTTTCTTGTTGGAAGCATTCGTAGCATATAAGTTTTTTTTCTCATTTTCCTTAATTTGTGTCACTAACAGGTATCTGCCATGGTTGGGTTTATTTAAAAGTTTCTCATTGAGAGTCACAGTGTGATACTGATCTAAAGAGTGATGTCTTTCTTTAGTTCTGGAAACATCTCCATTTTGTCCTTCAAATAGTGCTTCCCCGCTCCTTCCGTTCTCGTCTTCTGGAAGTCCCATCGTGTTGCAGCTTTTCCATTTCTCCTCAAGTCGCTTGAGTGCTGTTTTATATTTTTAATTCTTCTTGGCTCTCTATATTGCATTCAGGGTCATTTCATCATAATTCTCTCCCATTTCCCACAGTCTCTCTTGTGTTGTGTCTAGTTTCGTCACTTAAAATTTATCCCATTCATTGAGAATTTTTTTCAATGACTATATATACATATATATATATATATATATTTATATTTATTTATTTTTTTTTTTAGATTTTTTACTTTACCTTTTTCTCCCCAAAGCCCCCTGGTACATAGTTGTGTATTTTTAGTTGTGGGTCCTTCTAGTTGTGGCATGTGGGACACCGCCTCAACATGGCCTGATGAGCAGTGCCATGTCCGTGCCTAGGATTCGAACTGGCAAAACCCTGGGCCGCCAAAGCACAGCACGCGAACTTAGCCACTTGGCCACAGGGCTAGCCCCTATATTTTTAATTTTCAAGATTTTTGGCTTTTTCTTTTCCTACAATGTTGACCTTGGTAATGCTTTCCATGGAGTGCAATATGTAAGTTTATGTCACAAAATGGAATGTCACATCTTACCCCAAGACAGAAATACAGGAAGATGTCAAAGGATGACAAGATGACCACTCGATCTGAAATAGCACAGCTGATGGATGGGCTCATTACAGTAGGGAGAGCTGTGCGGGGCAGGCAGTCTCCGAGCAGAAAGGACTGCTGACTGTATCTGATGGCACAGTTCCATGGTGCAAGTAGGTTGACATCACCTGTAGCAGCAGACTTAATGGATTGTCACGTCTACTAGATAGTGGGGCATTTGCCACTGTGGGGCCCGGTGCAGCATGGTAAGGGGATGGGACAGTCTGGCCCATCCACCCCGCTGGAGCCCCACAGTTAGCGCTAAGGGTGCTGGGGAGTCTGCCGTCTGGGCGGACTTCCCTCTCCAGGCACCTGCAGGGAGCGGGCCCAGCGTTAGAGACCAGGAAGGAAAGGCGGAGAAGTGGAGAGCGGCGGCGCCTGCGCCTGCTGCCCACCCGGCTGAGCCTCGGCCGCGGCTGCTCACCCGAGCCCCATCTCCTGCAGGTATCAGGCTTTCAGGGACGACGATGGACAGTATTCCCGGACCTACTGGAACCTTCTGGCCATCCGCCTGGCCTTTGTTATTGTGTTTGAGGTAGGGGCAGCTCCCCATTCCTCTGCTCACCTCCCCCACTGGCTCTCAGCCTTGACGTGAGGCCCACCCCAGGATGCTTTCTCTGATCCCACCATGTGGAGCGGGGCTGGAGTTGGTGGGCCAAGGGAGCAGGGTCCTGCCCTGTCACCTTGGTCAAATCACAGTTCTCTGCACCTTCGTTTCCATCTGGAAAATGGAGTTCATCCTTGCCTGGCCTCTGTCTCTGGGTTGTGTGGACCTCAGAATGCTCTGGGCACTGCAGTGTCCCAGGGAAGCTGCACGGGGACACAGAAGTTGGGGGTGGTCTCTGGGCCGTGGCCTCTGCCTCTTCCGGGCATTTCCTTTGCTGTACTGCTGCCCTCCAGCTCAGCCGGCACCCGGGGAGCAGGTGCCCACACCTGGCCCTGTGAAGGCCACGCTGGGCATTTGTTTTTAACCAAGCAGTGGGGTGCGCTCGCCCACTGCCCGTACCATCCCCTGCTCCCAGCACGTGGTGTTCTCCATTGGCCGGGTCCTCGACCTCCTGGTACCTGACATCCCCGAGTCCGTGGAGATCAAGGTGAAGCGCGAATACTACCTGGCCAAGCAGGCGCTGGCCGAGAATGAGGTGAGCCCCCACCCCCAGCCCTCACGCTTCACCTTCCCTGGTCCCCCGGTGGAGGGGCCCCGGCCTGGCGCTCTGCTGCGGCGCAGGACGGAGTGAAGAGTGGCAGAGTGGAATCAGTCTAACCTCACTCTCCTCCCCCGTCTTCCTGGAGACAGGCTCTCTTTGGAGCAGGTGGAGCGAAGGACAACCAGCCCCTGGCTCAAGAGATGCGACTGGGCCCACAAGCCTAGCCTGCTAGGAGATGGCCGGGCCTCCCCAGTCCCTTCCCTCTGAGATCACAGGGGTCACCCTGAGAGTCAGCGGCTCAGGGACCTGGAGCCAGACCCACCTGGAGGGCAGAGGCCCTGCTGCCTCAGAAGAGATGCCAGGCTGTCAAAGGCTCACCGTGCTCAGAGGCCACAACTGGTCTCCTGTCCCTCCTTGGCCCAGAGCTGCTGTGCCCTTGGCTGCCTCGGGCCTCTGCTCACGCGCCCTGCCTCCCAGGTCCTGGTCGTGGTCCCCATCAGCCACCCCTTGGAGTCCCCAAGGCCAGCTGACTACAGCAGCAGCATCTGGAGGGCCGGGGCATGCTGTGCCAGGGGAACCCAGTGGCTTGTCGGGGAGCTGTCCCTGCCATCCCCCTCCCAGCCCCAGGAGCCGGTATCCTCTCCTCACGCTCACCCGAGACAGAAAGGCTCCACATCTGAGGTGCTGGCTGCCCCCACCCTCAGGCACATGCCGCTTCCCTCCCACCTCATCGCCTCTCTCCTCTCAGAGCACCGGTCCTTCTAGGCCTGCTCCCTTCACTGCTTCCCATCCCCAGGGCCCCTCACTCACCCCCAGACCCTGGTCTTCCACTAGCCCAGGAGGTGGCCTCCACCGTGTTCACACTTCCCTCTCGCCCCTCAGCCCTCGGATGTGGCTCATCTGCCAATCAAGCCAGTTGGCTCTGAGGTCCTTTCTGTTCTCCCTGGTGCTCCTTGTGCCTCTTGCCCTTTGAATGGTGGAGTGTCCCCTCTCTCCAGGCCCACCTCACCTCTTCCCACCCTGTCCACTTGGGGTGCTGCCTGCCCCCCAGCACGACCCACCTGTCAGCCCCTGCACTCTGTGTTCAGGTCAGAGCTGAGTCAGCTCACCACGCCACCCAGCCCCCTCCATTCCCCATTATCCGCCAAGGCCTCTCGATTGGGCTTCTTTTTTGAACCTGGTGCGCCATTTTCTCTAAGCTGCTCCCTCCTTGCTCCCCGCTGGGCTGTGCCCCAGAGGAGTGGCTTCTCCCCCACCTCCGGCAGGCCCCTAGGCTGGGGCCAGATGGGGAGGAGTTGGAAGGAGATTGAATTTTATTCCCTGACCAGAGAAATACTTGAGGACATTCCTGCAACCCTCCGTGGATCTCCTTCCACACGTTTTTCTGTGTGTTTATACATAATCGTTTTCAAAATTGGGGGCATAATGGTACGTGCAGTTTGACCTCATCCCCCACTGGCTCCAGCAGCCTCTTTCCACGTTTCCCTTCCGTGAACTCGGTGGACTGCTGGGCCTAACCCTGTCACGGGCACTTCCCAACTTAGCCATCCCTTATGCCGGGCACGCAGGCTTCTCTTCCGCGGCGCTATCAATCAATTATGCGGAATAAACATCCGGAAACACTGTCCTCACTTTTGACTTCCTGAGGGTACACTCCCAGAAGCAGACTGCAGCATCAAAAAGGATACGCAGTTTTTAAAACGCTTTGACGCAGAGCCCGGAAGTGCCAACAGACACCCTTCTCAACAGCGTCCTTGCCAAGGCGGTGTCATCACTTACACGGCGCCGCTCGGGCCTCCGGCAGCACTGCGCACGCTTTGGGCAGTCTGTTGACAAGGGGTGAGGCTGCGTGCAGAGGTGGTTGTGAGGCCACTGGCATTTGGATTTGTCACTCATTCACTTGCCTTTTAGAGAGTGAGCTGGCCCAGATCACAAAAGCCACAAGTATTTTTTTCCAGCTATTTGCTTTATTGTTGCTGCTGACTCAACTTTATAATTTTTTTTAAAGATTTTATTTTTTTCCTTTTTCTCCCCAAGGCCCCCCAGTGCATAGTTGTATATTCTCCGTTGTGGGTCCTTCTAGTTGTGGCATGTGGGACGCTGCCTCAGTGTGGTCTGATGAGCAGTGCCATGTCCGCGCCCAGGATTCGAACCAACGAAACACCCGGCCGCATGCAGCGGAGTGCGCGAACTTAACCACTTGGCCACGGGGCCAGCGCCTCAACTTTATAATTTTGAAGTACATTTATTGAAACATAAGAACAATGCTCAAGTGTGTCCACCGGGCTTTCACACCGCTGTAACCAGCACATGAATCAAGACCCGGCCCTGAGTACCAGGACCCTGAGTACCAGGCCTGGCGTGGGCCCCTCCCCACTAACTGTCTCCCACCGAGTGGCCACCACCTCAGCCTCTGATGCCAGGGCTGAAACTAGGGAACCCGCAGGGTCGGACCCTCTTTCGGCGAGCACCACGGCCATGAGCTTTCCGTGCAGTGTTGTGCGTGACTGGCCCATTCTGGCCGCTGTTAGGAATGATGCTGCCATCACTCTTGTCCCAGTCTCCCGGTGCCGTGGGGCGCATGTTTAGGAGGAATTGCTGGGTCACTGGGTAAACTACTTGCCTTTAACCTGGTGGGAATGAGACCACTCTCTCAGAAGCAAGGCCTCTAACTCCCTTGCTCCACGGACTCCTGGTGCTATTTTCTACCACGTGGATAATGGGGTGGTTCCTCCAGCTGAAGGCTGTTCCCCTCCCCCCAGCTCAGCACCCGCCTGGGGGCTGGGAGCCTTTCCAGGGGGTGCCACCGAGGTTTGCTCTTGACATAAAGACAGGATGGAGCTAAGTGTAAGTGGCAGGGTGCTGCTTCACAGACATGAGAGGCCAGGGCAGCGAGGAGACTGTCCACCTTCAACAGTGACAGCCAGCCACCCACGCTGTGACCACTGCTGTTTTCCCAGGGTGGCTCCTGCAGGGGCAGTTAACACAGGGTTGACCACCATATGCCAGTTCTCTGGGATTTGGTGCAATTCTCTGGAGAATTCTCTGGGAGAACTTGCACCAAAAATTAGAACTGTGCATGTCCAGTTACCACTCAAGAGCATGCTGAGACAGCCCTGCTTTCACAGGACTGAGAACACACAGGTGCCGGGCGTGATAAAATGAGTCCCAGCACACTACATCCGGTTTTGGGTTTTATTTTAGAATTTATAAAATTCCAGTGTCATCCATATTCATGAGCCTTTACACATGTTTGCATATAATCTCCAAATTCCAAAGTTAAGGCCAAGGGATGGATCGTAGCTATGGACACATACGATATGGAAGACATTCAACACGGAGGACACGCACGCCTCATCCCCACCCAGGCTCTCCAGCAGCATGGGAGGCTGCGGGGAACCAGGCCTGGGCACAGTCATCTCATCACCTCGATTAACAACAACCGAAAACAGAGCAAGACCCCAAACACAGTTGAGGAAAGGAGAGTTTGCATCTATGACATTTAGCAATAAATGCAGATGTGCAAAAAATCTGTCATGAGAATTTAAAATTCGCCTTCAGGTGGGGCGGGGCTGGACACTGTAGAAAAGACCAAGGGAAGCGGAGGTTCGGGCAGATCCCAGAGGAAGCCGGGGCGAGGGGAGGGAAGCAAGCTGGCCAACAGGAAAGGTTCCATACTCAGGCAGATGGAAAAGAGTGCTGGCCCTGTCCCTACAGAGCTCCCCGGAGCTGCAGGGGACGCCTTTCCTTCCTTCTCCCTGTCTCCATCAACTCGAGCTGCGGCGGGGTCGCCCAGCCTCCTGGGCTGGAACAAGTGTTCCTTCCTGTCCCAATGCATCATTCCTACCAACGGGCACATTTAAGGCTGCTTGAGCTAAAGGGAACTTGCAGAGGCAACTCAAGTTAGACCTGGGGCAGGCCGTTCATGGTCTCTTCAGGAGTTTCAGTCTGAAGACCACCAAGCTTGAGTTATTAAACAGACAGTAACAATTCTGGGGGCGGGGTGAAGGGGGTAGATGGTCAAAGCAGAAATGACCGTCCCTGGGGCACAAGTCAGCTTCTCAGGGACTCCAGTATCTGGGGCAGGACAAGTTGAGAGTGGGTCAGTCACCTCCGTCGGGGGAGAGGCAGGGATGGGGAGAGCAGACAACCCAAAGACAAAGGCCAGTCCTCGGTTCTCACACCACCACACAGGTGCCTCTGTGCCGCCCGGGGCCCCTCTTCCTCTCCAGAGCGGACCCTCACCAAGCCGGCTGGGGGCAGGGCACCTTGACTCGCGCCAAGGCCTATGGTCCAACACCCAGAATTACCTACCACACAGCTGAGAAAGAGTGGACCCTCCCTCAGCTGCACTCAGTCCTCTGGTCCAGGCCGGGCGACAGCCTCTCTCTACCCCAGGACCATGAAGCCTGCCTCTCAGTCAACTGGCAGAGGCTTGCCCACAGCTTCTGAGCGTGCAACAGAGGATGGCCTAGGATGGGGCGGCAATGTGCACTCCCCACTCTGGACCAGCCCACGGGCCCCTGCACCGCCTGCAGGCAAGGAAGGGCGCAGCTTGGGCCCAAGCACCCAGCTTCCCGTCCCCAAGGCCGCAGTGGACACGTGACCCCCACAAACGTGGAGCTTGGGAGGCTGAGTGTTGGGGCAGCACTCCCCTCGGCGTGCAGCCACGACCGCCTGGCTCTGAGGTAGAAAGAAGGCAACTGAACACGGGGGAGGGGAGGGCGGGCTCGGGGAGCTGAGGGGCGTAGAGACAAGTCGGCCGCTGCGTACAGTGAGGGCCCACGGAGGAGGAGCGGGGGAGCCCCGCCACTCCCCTCTGGGCACCCCGCCCCATGCCACGGTTCTCAGATCCTATGGCCGGCCACCGTGACAGCCATGGCGGACCCAGGCAGCAGCCACGCCCTTGGGCTTCGCTCACCAGCCTTGGGGCCTTCAGCGCCGAGGGGTGCAGGGCGGACACGCCTGTGGTCAGACCCAAGCGCAGGTGGAGGCGGGCTGTCTGAGAACCCGGTCACCCTCCACCTCGCTGGTCCCCTCTGACTCCGCTGCAGCTCTCCTTTGGGTCCAGGCGGCTCCCAGTGCAAACTGGGTCTTCCTCCCCACCCTGCGGTCTGGCTAAGTGGGCTTTTTGGCAGCTGGAAGAAGGCGGACTGCACTCTACAAGGAGGGTCTGGGTGATAGGCAGGGGGAGAAGGGAGGTGGGAAAGGAAGAGGGCAAACGTTTGGCTTTTATAAAGTCAAGGAAATTTATTTCCTGAGGTCATGACACAGGAAGTAGACTCAGCCACAGCTGTGCAGCTCTCATAGTGGAGGCCAGAGCCTTACTGACATGCTGGGTGGACCAGGAAGCTTATCGTGAAATGTCCCATTACCTCTGTTAGTGTTCACAACAGTGGAGAGCCGTCCCAGGGCAAAGGCATCAGGGAGCAGGTCCTGAGCACGCACTGGGCGCTGGCCAGGCCCGAGACCCAGCCGCACACAGCGCCGGGCGGGCCGGCTTCACTGCGAGACCTCGGGGAGGGGGAGCGTCAACAATTTACGGAGGGGCCAGCCGCTGGGTCAGATTGAGACAAACCGTTGTGTGGTGGGTTTGGGTCAGCAGGCTGGAGAGGTTTCTCCTTTTTGATCATTATCGTTTGGGGCCCCAAGGGAGGGTCTTGGGGGCCACCTGAGCCCCAAAGCTGGGAAATTCCTCAGAGCTGCTCATATCAGGAGCCTGTGTGGGAGAGAGGGCACAACTTTATTAGGAAAGGGCGTCGTGCTTAAGCAACTTCCAAAAGGGTCACCACCCTTGGACACTGGACCCGCCCGTGGCGAGGAGCGACTGTGACCGTGCTCCCACCTCCCAGGGCACATGGAGGGCGGGAGGATGCCGTCTGACCTTCTCGCTGCTGTTGGCGGTCCACGGAGCGTCCCGCACCACAAAGCCCTTGGATGGCGCCTTGGACTCCTCATGGGCTGGGGGCTTCATGTACACCTGCAGCGCCTCGCTGTCCACCACGTCAGCCAGCTGTGGGCACACGTGCGGGGTCGGTCTGCAGCGGATGGCACGATATGCACCCACTGTGCCCGCCCTTGTCTCAGACATTGGGGCTCACTCAGGGGCCATCCTGCACCTGGAATGCCTCCAAAAGTGCACGCAGACTGCCTCACTGTCACCCCAAGCCAGGCAGACCCAGGGGCCCCCAGGCACAGGCCTGCTGCCCACCCAGCACTCACGTATTCCTCCTCCAGGTTGAGGATGTGGTCGATGGCTTCCTCCACGTTCTCTGGGAGCCCCGTCACGGTGACGCAGTTGGGGTCTGGGGCTCCGCTCTGTGGGAAGCGAATGTCCACCTGGAAGGAGTACACACAGCAGCTGAGGTGACTGAGTGCCCCATCCGGGCGTTTTGGACCACAGAGTCACTGTTGTGTATGGCGGGGAACAGTCCATTTCTAGGGAAGTGTTCCCCTCTGAGTCAATAAAAATGTAAAACTCTGGGTTCATGGTTGGTCCCGCCTCCTCCAGACACGGAAGCCCAGTGCACTGCGAGAGCACCTCGTCTTCAGCAGGCGAAGCAGGATGGGCAGACTCACCCTGCATTTCAAAGCCGTGCAAGCCTCGACAGATGCAAAACCCATGGAGGAA